ACGCAGATACTGGATCAAGTCCCGCAGGACCATGAAGAGCCAATTTGGGGCAGTGCTGGCTCTTTTAAATCACAAACAACAGGAAGAAGAGAGTTCCTTTCTCTTAAATTTCATGCGGCAACAAGGTGGAAGTTACGTCTCTAAAGCAGTTTTTGAAAGACAATCAAACAAATTCAAAGTGAGCAGGCTTTTTCATTCATATCACAACGCAGCTTGCTGCACCGCCAGGAGGGAGAAATTACTTTACCTCAGTGTGTGACTCATATGTATGAGGCCAAGAATTATCAGATCAGCCTCACTACAAGTGTGTTAAAACTTTACTAACCCTCTGAGATGAAATAAAGTTGGAAACGTACACAAGCTAAGCTGGTAAGACAGGAGAATGTGGTTGTAAAATAGATTTCATCACTGTTATTCTTATATGCGTGTTGCCGTTCAGCAGAAGCTGTTATGTCTGCACGACTGATACGATGTGTTCCCGGCTTTTATAGTAAGCTTTTCATCAAATAGCCTCAGTTTCAGCTGTCCCTCGGCAAGTCTTTCAACACAGCACATTATGGGAGAAGTTTGTACCAAAAAATCCTTTCACAGAGTTGCACAATCAATCAATCTGTGATGTTTGCTGCATATTTCAGGACTTATGTATCATTAGGTTTTGATTATAGTCATTAATGTTCTTTAATTTGATTGCTTTCTTGGTGTCAGAAAATCAGTATCCACCAAAATATTTTTAAATAATAAAACATTAAACTGACTTCTTTTCATTTTTTACAAGTAGATGGAGAATGACACTGGAAGATTTTCTTACCAAAAGAGAAGAAGACAGATCTTTTCTCATTAATCCAAAGACACAAAAACATAATATGTCTTTATGGCGTCATTGGATTTTGAACCGTTGAGGCTCTTTGTAAAGAATTTCTCACTGTATGACTGTTAAGCTTTGGTGCAAAATGTCTGGAAAAGTGAATCAAGACTGACCAAATCCAAAACCTGAAAACTACTGTTGATGTTTGAGTTATTTCCAATATGAAACTGCATTGCAGCTGTGCAGGGAGTGTCCCAGTATGAGGTCATGTTTTCTGTGTTTGGTCATGTTATTCCACAGGAATAAGAAAAATATGTGACCGAAAACCTGATCCAGGAATATAAAGGTATATTACCTGTAGTGTCAAAGTGCTTTGGCATCCTATATAATGAAAAGCAGGTCTTAATATCTGAGTCTGTGAGGTCGTTCCTTAAAACAGGCTCATGCTGCTGCAGTATTTTGTTTATACGCCTTATGTTTCTCCTTTCAAACTCCCATGGCAGCAGCAGCAGCTTGGGATTATTCAGGACGTTGCATCAGACCCAAACAGCCACTTGTTATTTATATATTATTTATTTATTTTAGCGCCTGCATTTATGAGAAACATCAACACTGTAGGTGAGGCTGGTGATAATCATGCAGATGACTCAGACTTTGGATAACCCATCCAATATTTGTTTACAATTAATTGAAACCATAGCTACTTTGGTGCTCCTTCCTCATGTGGCCTTTTTTTTGGGCGGGGGGGATGGAGTTGACATCGTAATTATCCTGCATCACTGATGACTCTTCAGGTGATTGTAAAATCATTAAGATGATGCTCTGGCAGATGTTTGTGTCTAATTGCCTTATTAGCAGGGAGGATGGAGAGGAGCCGAGGTTTGACGTTCGCTTCAACCTGCAGTGTGATTGATCCTCAACTGACACCTTGTAAACAAGTAAGTAAGTAACTGTGCACCAACAGCAGTTTGATAAAGTTACGGTGATCGTATGCGTGCCACAACATCCCAACACATACAGACGACCACATTTACACCTAGCTGGTTCATGGGTCTTGGGAAGATTGGGCAGTTACTGTTTATCAAGAGAAGCCAAGTGTAAATGCAACCAAGAGGAATTATAGAGATGGATTGAAATCATAGAAGAACCTTCTATCCAGATGTTTTAAATAAGGCATCTGTCTTTTGACGTTGCATACATAAACTGTAAGACCTTAGTCTTACACTTCCGAACACATCTAGAAGTAAAAATCTCTGTAACTTCTGAATGGCCACACTCAAAGACCGGGTGAAAAGTCTGCTGTTATCCTCCTGATTGCATCCTTCTCCCTCCCCAATTTTACTCCCAGAACTCAGTGTCTTTGGCATGTCTCTGCATGATGAACTGTACAAATGGGGCCAATGGCACACACTTTCAAGTCTCTCTCCGCGAAGGCACTCATTCAGTAATGTTCGCATTTGGTTGCAAACACACGAAAAGTTAAAATAAAAGAGAGCTTGTGAGAGAAGTTAAACTCTGCCTACTTTTACACCTCCACACACCTGACCACTTACTGTACAGCTGACATGATTGTCGAATTGTCTGTTTTTGGAAAGTTGGCAGACACAGTGTCGGGTAGAGGGTTTCAGACACTGTTAGAGGATCTGACAAACACTTTGAAGAATATTGAGCACTTTACTCTTCCCAGTCAGAATTACATTAGTAAGTGTTGTGCCAGTAGCCAGTGTTCGGGACTTGCCCCTATAATAGCGGGCGATGGTAAATGGATGGCATTTACTTTCCTACCTTAACTGATAAAGCACTTAAGAATTTGCCTCTCATTCACACATGCCGATGGTTGGGAAAGGCCAGACCATCGGGAACAATTAGGAGAAACTTTGACATGTAGACAGTAGGACCCAGTAAGTGGACAAGGATCAAACTACCAACCCTGCAACTAACGGATGACCCGCTCAATCTCCTGAGCGGAGCTCTCCTAGGCAACACTGAACTTATCTACCGTTTGGCTGCGCATTAGAGCAACAAGTACAAAGCAGCTCGAGGTTTTTGGGAGTTTATCTCGCCGTATGGAGTGCAGTATGTCCCAGACAGATTTGCATGTAACACAGCAAAACCCAGATGGATTTATTTATCTGGCTCACAGATACACATATTTGTAGCGAACTGTAATGAAAGTGTATACAATATGTGTAAGTGGGGCCAATGGGGCGGCTATGGCTCAGGAGGTAGAGCAGGTCATCCACTAATCAGAAAGTTGATGATTCGATCGGTGCATCCTTTGTTACTGAACCACAAATTGCTTCCGATACTGTGCCATCGGTGCGTGAGTGTTTGTGAATGGAATTTTTTTCTGATGAGCAGTTGGCACCTCCATAATCAATGTATGAATAGGTGAATGTGACATGTAGCATAGAGCACTTTGGTGGTCAGAAGATGACAAGGGTGCTACGTAAGTGCAGTCCATTTACCATAGTTAAGTTTTACCACAGAACAAATCACTTGGCAAAACCAGTTGTTGATTTACACGTAGTCTGAGAGGGATCAGAAGTATCACTTTGCAGTTGCTATAAATTCATTTCCAAACACTTCACAATGCACCAACAAAGACATTTCGAAACACCATGCTGTGATTCCTGAGAACAAAAGAGCAAACGCCCTCAGAAAGTCATATCCAGCTACAGAAGTCAAGTCTCTCACTAATCGAGGAAAGCTCTCACAGTTTAGGAGAATGCATCTCTCTATCTCTTTTACCCCACTGAGTGAAATCCCGGTTGCCTGGCGGAGGTCATAGAGCAACATCTGCCAGCGCTGACCTGCCTCCCCTGCTCCCTACCATCCCCCCTCCTGTCCAGTTCTGGATTAGAGATATCCTACCCCCCCACCCCCACCCCCGACACTGCATGCTGCTCTGCATGGATTAACTCTCAGAGAAGCCGCACTGCTGTCACACATTAACCTGCAATCACAAGTCTCTTGTGCAGAGAGCACCCGCAACAGATCTCTAGAAAGGGCTGTTAGAGTCTGACACAAACACACCATAAAGTCTGTTTTTGCGCACCGTGAGAGCAACATGTTATTCATAGTGAGCTGTAGTTGGGCCAAGTTCAGAGGCAACGAAATGCTGAGACTCCTTCCCTGTTTCAGTGATTTATGAGCGAGATCCTATGGTTTGTAAAAAATTATGCAGGTAGCAGCGGCTTTCATTCCGGCACTACATTTTCTCCAGTTCGCAGCACTGGTGCAGACTGTCGTATCATCTGTCTGTGAAGATGTTTGCTGGGAGTGAAAATGGGTTTTGTGGGATGTAGAAATCACGTTCCATCTCTTTGACTTCTTATTGCTCCAATAGCTGTGCAGCATGTTACTCATTTGCATTATTATTCGTCCACTCAAACCTGATAGATTAAAGGAATGACATTCAGCAGAGGCTTTCTCAAAGGAGCCTACCCTCTGTAATGGAGAGAGATATGGACACACACACACATCTTTATGCTTTGGAAACTAACACATAAACAGACAGGCTGACAAACAAGATGCTCACACAATAGAAACTTGCCTGTCTTGCCACTAGCCAGTACAGTATGTTGACGAGCTTACAGATGCAGTCAGACTCAGCTGAGCGCAAAACTGCGATTAATTTGAAGCTTCACCAAGAAGCCATGAATCATTCAGCCCAGTGAGACTGATCGACAGTATAGACCGAGCACCCTGTAGACAATGGTTATATAAAAAATGCACACATACAACCGTTGACAGACACATGCAATCATTTGCTCCAATACAATCACACATATCATCCTTTCAGCTGGAGGAGAGCAGAGGAGGAGGGGGGAGCCGTATTCTTTGCAGCAGCAACAGTTGGCTGTCGACTGAGAGGGAAAGAGTTAGCTGCAGCACAGAGACACACACGGGGACACAAAATATGCATGCACACACATACACACATATGGCAGGAGATTGGAGATAGAAAGAGATGGACGGGGAGCCGAGAGAAGAAATGGTGACAGATAAAGCCACAAAGCCACACGGCTGGAGGGATGCCTGGCAACCGGTGGCAAAAATGGACATGCAGTAATAAGAGAAAGGGAGAGGGAGAGGAAGAACTAAAAGGGGTAGACACACACATGTAGACATGTTGGAAAACACAGTGGTAAACAGTAGGATGGAGACAACAAGAAGGGAAACCATTACTCACTGGAGTCATCTGAGTCGTATCCCTCCACGTCGGGCTCCTCGTCCCTCTTGGTGGCCTGTAAGGAGGCGGAGGCTCCGGCACAAGCCCGGTCTGGTTTATCCTCATTGGGGCGGTCACTTTCGGCAGCAGCGGTGGCGGAAGCAGCGGCCGAAGAGGTGGTGAGGGCAGGGCACAGGGGCCCGGCGTGGCCCGCTTGGTGGGGCGCAATGGGGGGAAGGCCCCGCGGGTAACGGGGGAAGTAGTCAGAGATCTGCTTGATGGGCTGGATGGGGCCAGGGCACACGTCAATGGCCATGTGCTCCTGGATGCTGATGGTGGGTTTCTCGCCTTTGCGTTGTGTCATGCATGCGGTCCAGCCCGGAGCCTACTCCCAAAACCAAAAAAACTGAGAAAAGAAAAAAAAAATAAGACAAACAGACCCACCCCCCTCGTCCTCCTCCTCTTCTTCCTCTTGCCTCTGTGGAAGAGGTGGGTGTTGTCCTGGGTGGTGCTGATGGGTGGACAGGTCCAGGTGATCTGTGGATGTCACCACACTGGTCTACATGGAGATCTGGGAGGCTGCTGCTGCGTCTTCCAGTGCTGTCCTCAGACCCAGACCATGCTGTCTGACAGCCTCACACACACTACTACCTACCCTCCCGCTCTCTCCTCTTCCTATACCCCCACACTCTGCCCACGTCTGCGCTGCCTATCTGAGAGAGAGAGAGCAGAGAGAGTGGTGTTTGTGTGAGGGAGTGTGAGGGAGAGGGAAGGGATTAGAGAGGAAGGAGGGAGGGATCAGCTGATGTCACTGCCTAGCAACCGAGCGGTAAACAGGAACCGTCGGCCGAGGTGCTTAATTATGATATTAACCCCATCCATCTGTCAGTGGGAGGGAAGATCCAGCGCCGTGCCAGACTCATGCGCATGTGAATGTGTGTGTCCTTGAGTGCGTGGGTGTGTGTGTGTGTACCTCTGGTATATGATAACCTGGACAATGAGCCATGAATCGATGCTTTGTGTTTGTGATTCACCTCCAGGATGTTATCGCACTGAAAATGAGTCTTTTGTGCTCTTTAACCTGAATACTTTTCATTGCAAGCGTAAAAATTAAGGTTTTGTATCATTTCCTTGCTTTTTGAGTCCTTCCTGAAGGCCTGCACTTGCATTTTTTCTATTTGTGATGTCAGTGTTTTTGTAAAAAACAATTGGAGTAGAGGGGGCCACTCAAGGCAAGGTGCCCCCCTAGGGCCCCAAAATGGCTAATGCCGCCCCTGCTTACACCCTCTTTTTTTAGCCATAGCATCCTGTTTTTTCTTTTTCCACTCTGCTTGTACACTAATTAACACACATACTTTCATTCATGCTTTCATTCATGCACACTGGTCTGTTTAATGTACAGACTTATATCTACTTCCCCATGTACCAATTATGCACCCTGATGTTATCATATGTTTCTTAATTACAAACCATCTGTTTGCATTTTATTTTGTAGCCGTGGCAATTTCACACTTGTTTAATACGCATATTGTCACATTTCACCATTGTGAATAGATGCGATTGACACAGCAACTGTTACAATTAACTGTGACACAATGATGTCTTGTTAAAGCTGCACTATAGGTGAGACTTTTATGTAAAAATACACCTGTCCTCTCATTGTACATGAGTGCTACTACATCCACTAAATATCTGGTAGAAATGTGCACGTACTGTGCAGAGTAATCCTTCTGTCTTTGAAAATTAGAAACAGTAACCCTCTGCTGCCAAAGATGCAAATGCAGCTTTAAATTCCAAAATGAAAGTGTCATTTATTTATATTCACGGTATGCCAAACTTGATTTATTCCCCCTAACACACCAGCAAATGCTCAACACTTTTCATGCTCCTCACATTACATAACAAAGAGACTCACAGTCTCTCATGAGAGGCTTTCCCCTGCAGATTTACTGGGAACTCTAACCTCTGCAGCAGCTCTGTCATCACGTTTAGCCATTCACAAACACAACAAATATGTCTACAGTGAACAGATGATGCAGCACCCTCTTGTGTAAGCTGTTGGCAACAAATTGAAGCTTTGTGGAATTAAAATTCAAAGGCTGTAGTCCAGCTGATGGGTGGTTTTATTAGTTTTATAAGATAAGATCAAGATATGTGATGAAGTTTGAGCTTCTACAGGTGTTGCTCTTTTCAGGTGTTTCCTGCATAGCCTTATGCTACCTACATATTTTCCTCTATATATTCTAAATGAACCAGAATGAACAAAATACATCCTTTATGTGTTATAGACCACAAAGGATGCTTTACTTCACTGCTGTGGGGAGGCTTTTACCTTCGGAAAACAACTCTCTGTGGGTGCCTTCTGAACAGGTCTCAATTATGGAATGCATAGCTTGAGTCTACATCATTGAGCTGGAGGAAGCACACACAGGTGCAGCTGACTGGGTTAATAAAGAGCACGCTGATTTCTGATTGGCTCCTGAATGAGAAAGTCTGAATCCGAACCAATAGCTGTCTCTTAAATTTCACCCCCATTTATTACCACTCTGTGCGTGTCAGATGTTCGCCACAATATCTTAACAGAAGTGTGTCACTATTGTGTTTCCTGCTGTCATTTCTGTCTCCTTTGTGAGAAGAAATGGAGTGTTTAAAACCAGTTTTATAAAGCCTCCACTCCCCTTTAAAAGAAGTGCAGTCCCTGTGGTGACTCATTGACAGTTTTGTCATGGAGCGCCCAGACCTCTCCGGTCTCTCCCAAAAGGAAATTAATGTGCTTGGGGTCCAATGGCTTCAATATAGAGCACCTCAAATATGAATACACTGTACACTAAATATGCCACCTAGGGCAGATGAATTCCACTCGGAAGTTGACTTCATGTTGCTGCGAATACAAACAGCCTGGCGACCATGTTTTCTGTGGGTAATGATGCACACCAAACAATTTCATTTTGGATATTGATGGGATGGCATCACCTCATTGGAATAGTAACTGTGTCTGTATACCGTTGTTAGAAATAATGAGGTGTTCAAAGTTGTGTAGAAGCAGATCTCCATGTCTATAAAATATGTTTCACTGTGTTTGTTCATTTGACTGAAGTGATTGAATAGGATGCATTCACACTTTAATGGCATTATTGCCAATACTGAGAGACAATAGTTTGTGTATAGATCATTTTACAAACTCAATTCATCACAATAATCCTGTTAACATAACAAGATCACTGATTGTTGACGTCTGTTTCTGATTAATGAGAATCTAGGGAAAATTGTAGAAATTGCAAACTTCACACACACATTTTCCTCCCCAAAGACTTTCTAGAAAATGTGTAAAGTCTGTCACAAGGAAGAAGATGTCCCATGTTGCTGGCCCCAGCAAAAACCCAGCATTCTGGATTCTTTGTAGGAAGGCTAAGTAGGTAAGTAAGTTCAGTTATGAAAAGAAAAGAGAGAAGTTTAGAAAATAACTGACTGATCATCAGATCTTCCTCAGGAAGTCTCAGGTATGGCTGATGAACTGCACTGTACAAACTGTATGTAGAATGCCATCAGTTGATAAGCCTGGTCCAATTTTACAAGAGTCTGTCGCTTGTTGCAGCACTTTGAAAACATCTTTCAAAAAATCAGTACAGAACACATCCTGCCACCTTCAGATAAGTGCATGGACTTAATCAGCACGAAGGAAAAGAACTTCACTTCCTACAAGATGTTGTGGATGACAGACATGGACAACAATCACTCCATAATCTAGTCCAACACACACCTTCTTGGCATTATGGCCTAAATCATATTTAAATTGTATTTTTGATGTGCATAGAGAGGTGTATGTATGTGTGTGCCACCTGCATCTGCACTACAAGATGATCTGAGAGGACAAATTACACTGCATCGACCAATCTGTTTTTTACTCTCCCCTCAAGTGTTCATTTTAGTGACATGATGTGCCATGAAATTACAGAATGGGTAGAAATCCACTTGTGCCCAACCAAATTACCATGTTGTCAGTCTGAGGTCTAAGGTTTGCGGCAAAACAGGGCCTTATTTTGGTAATGTGACAAAATGCATCCCTGTCCAACTCAAGAGGTGTTTCGGGGCAATCAGATTATCGGTCTGTGCTCACTGCAATCTCGAGAGCATTTATACCTGCACGTAAGAAAGGAACAATTATAGCAGCAGCGTTAAGAGTTGGGTAGAATATGTTTTCAAAAGTTGTACTCCCTCTTATCTAATTTATTAGTTATTATCTGTTATTTGTTTTACTGTTTTTAATGTCATATTTAATTGGTTTTATTATTACATTTTCATAATTTTCTTTCTTGTGCTAGTTGTGTGAGTGGAACTCCATGAAAACTCACAGGTTTAAATTGGAATACTAAAACTGAAAAAAAAAACTTAGAGGGCTGTTAGATGCACTTGTTTTATTTTCCATATTCACAATACCCACCAACACTCTCAACTAATGTGAGTTTTCCCAATCTCTAGCTGTAACTGAATGAACGGAGATGGAGTGTGTTGAAAACAGCTAAAAATAGGAATATCAAATGAACTGTGATTATATGTAGTTTTTAATGACCAGCCCTGTCTAGACAACTTTAAAGACCTGCATTGAGTTATTATTTATTTCAATGTGATTTTGAATGAGTTTTCTCACTTTACTTCTGGAAAAGAGAAGTTGTGGCGTCTCTTTGGCTCGCTATATCAGCCTAGTTCTCATTTTTATAGTTGGCTACCATTCGTATTAATAATGACAATGTCAGTCATTGAGATCTGATAGAAACACGAGTGGTTAGCTACACTTGGAAGACCTACCATACATGCCGTAGTTGTGCACCCACACATAGTTTTTCTGTACAATGTTTGATGATTACCGACACTTTCGGTTTTACCACCATGATAAAATGGTTTACATAATCTGGCTAAACTCCTGGTTTGTCTCACTGAGACTGACTTCATTCTGTAACGTCACTGTCTTTTCAGACCTCAGCAGTTACTTTGATGAGTGCTAGAAGTGATGGTGAAAATAAGTTAGAATAAATTGGAATTATACTTTAAATTATAACTTGTTTGGCATGTTGTGGTTTTATCCATGCAGAGGTGTCAAACATAATGAAATTGCAGTTATTTTCCATAAAACTGGTTTTATAAAAGACTGTCTCTGACTGTTTGTATTTGTTGGTGAATGAGCTGCTGCCTCCCTTTTTACTCCCTTGATCATTAACTTCTGAAAAGAAATCTGCAGAGGGATAAGTAAATGTTGTCTTAACTTCCTCCTCCTCTGCTCACTTCCCTTCCGCTAAATAACAGTCACCTATCTGTTGGACTCTAATAAGCAGCTTTATACACAACTGAGTCCTAAAGCAGTCTTTGTTTTTGTTGTTGTTATTCAGAGCAGGAGCGTAAATGAAAAAAGGACCAACGATCTCTGCCAAATTGCATGCCATGTCTGGAGAAATCTGATTAATGGTCTCTTAACAAGCGCTCCAAGGAGGCTCTGCCACTCCCGTCACCCAGGAATTCAGTCTAAATGAGGGAGTCAAGGGTAAGAGTGACCTTTTTCAAATATGCTTGTTCATAATGGCCCACACTGACGCCTGAAATTCTCCCCTTAATTTTGGCTGCACACAGTTCAGGCACACTGGCACAAACACAAAATGAACAAACTTTTCTCACACATCTTCAGT